GACCAAATCAGGAAACTGATTTCACAGGAGGATTAGGGCTATATTTTATTGTGATAGGCTATAATAACAGTCTGATTGTGCTTTACCTCCACTGTCACAGTGCAGTATCCCGGGTTATATGATCATCTTTTATGACCTTCTGTTAAGTAAAGTCAATGGGAACCCAGAGTCACTTAACAACCATATGACTAACTTAACAGTTGCAGTGATTCACTTAACAACTGTGGCAAGAAAGGTCATAAAATGGGGCAAAATTCACTTAACTGTCTTGCTTAGCAATGGAAATTTTGGTTCAATTGTGGTCATAAGTCAAGGACTACATGGACTGTGCCAGTGGTGGGATTCAGCCGGTTCATACCACTTCGGCAGAACCGGTAGCTAATTTTTTGTTGCCCAGGCCCAGAATGGACTTCCAGAAGCGGCATCCACACAGAGAACTGGTTGTTCACATATTTGAATCCCACCACTGGACTGTGCCTTAGCTTAAGGCCACTTTCTAACTTTCATCTAGAAAGTCTGAATCTAGATCTGGTAACTTCTGATGTAAATTATGCAATTTTATTTATGTATTTATTTATTAGATTTTTTAAAATTCTGCCTTTATTATTTTATAAGTAACACAAGTTGGGAAATATACATCAATATCCTTTGTCCATTTTCCCCACAACATTCCTGGGAGGTAGATTGGTTTGAGAAAGAGTTGCTGGCCCAAAAACATTGAACTGGTTTTCATGCCCAAGGTAGAACTAGAATTCACAGTCTCCTGGTTTCTAAGACAGCACCTTAAACTTCTACACCAGCAGTTCTCAACCTATGGGTCGCGACCCCATTTGGGGTCGATCGACCATTTCACGGGGGTTGCCAAGCAAGGCTGTCTGCCATTTTCCCCCCCCTTTTCTGGCGGGTGCCTTACCTCCCTTGGGCTGGGCCAGCTGGTGGTCGGCCTGCTCCGTCTCTGCCGCTTGCCAGCTACGCCTCGGCCGGCGCAGGGGGCGGAACCACGCATGCGCGGCACTCCCGGGCAGGGAAAGTCCTCGACTTACGACCAGTTTAGTCCTCGACTTACGACCGGTTGGGGGTCGCGGCATTAAAAAGGTTGAGAACCACTGTTCTACACTGAGCTAGATCTTACTCTTCTTTATTCTTACACTTACGTTACTTTTTATCTTGGAAATATTTGTAAGGGTTTTGTAGAAAAGCATTGCAGTCCATGTAAAATTATTTTTGAAGCAGAGATGAAGTTAAATAGTGTTTTATTTTATATTTTCAAATTGCTGATTAGCCACATTTTTCATTGGTTAATATAATGTAATTTTAATCATAATCTGCATGTATGCTTAGAATAGAATAGAGATTCTATTATAAAATTAGAGATTAAAAGTCCATATATCAAAGAGCAGGTTAGTTGCACTCCTGGTGACATAATATTCTAGGCAGCTGGTCATCCATGATAACAATCAGTATCTTTTAGCCAACCATGTCTTTTTCAGGAGCTAAACTTCAGATAATTACTTTCCATCTGTGACTAAAATCCACATGTGTTGGTCTAATGAAGCTGTTCAGTACTAAAACAATACCTGATGTCAGTAATGTATTGGATGAAGGAAAACAAATTGATGCTTAATATAGATAACACAAAAGTGCTTCTAGTAGGAAAGGGAACTTAACATATGTAGAATTAACCTTCGCACCATTCTGAATGCCTATGAGTTCTCTCAATTCCAAATTTACAAAGGTAATCCTGCTATACAAATTTCTCAAGATCTGAGCTGTGTATTGTGGTAGAGCTAGTGCCAGCCTACTTGATTATCAAATCTAAAAAGAAAAGGAAACCTGACACTAATAATAAATATTTCTTCTTTTTTCTTTATTTTGTATTTTAACTTTGGACATAAAATAACAATGTGTGGATTAAAGAAAAGGAAACATGTGTTCTAAACTGTGCAAAGAGGTTCCCTCAAAATCCAGATGGGCTCCATTCTGCTATAGTTTTGAAGAGCCATGAAAACCTAATTCTTCACCCAGGCCTTTGGCAAAGAAGCACGATGCCCCACACTTCACAGCACTTTTCATCTTTTTTTTTGATTTATTGTAATTTCTTTGTTATGAGTGACCCAGACTTATTAAGTTTAATTACCTATAGCAGTTTAGCTATATCCTCCATGGGATATTACAATATGCTTTATGTTGAACCACCTTGTTTTTCAAATGTTTGGAGGCTTTACTAAATCTCAGATGAGGAAGAAGAGGCTATTCAGGCAGTATTGCTGTTTTAAGAGCAGTTCAAGATAGATTGATACATAAAAACTGGGACTGGAAGATGGGTGAAGGGTAGAGGATGAAGGTCTGGAGTGGCAAAAGCTACAAAATAATTTTGTGTTCATATAAATGTTAAACCATAGGGCAGGGGTGTCAAACTGCCGGCTCGTGGGCTGGATGCGTCATGGTGAAACCATGCCCACCCCATTGCCGGCAATGGCAAAAAAGTCGCGATACGTCATGACATGTCATGTGATGTTGCGAGTTTGACACCTGTGCCATAGGGGGATAGTATATATGTGTGCTTAATCCCTTCATGAATGGAGATAGGCTCTATCTGATAACCAAAATTAATGCCTTTAATCTGTACAGGTTAACTAATAGTTTACTGTGTAGTAAACTGTAAGTAAACTGATATTGCAGTGTAACTGAATAATCAAATTAAGATGATGATTAATTGATTAGTTAGCTAGTTTCCTCCAAAGAATGGAATCACAAGCTGCTTTTAAGTTAATAAAGGCAGCAAAATTTCCTATATTTGGAAATTTATAGTATTTTTCTGCCAAATGATATAATATTAAGCACTGATTTACAATATTATTGAATGTCTATCTCCAAATCCTTCCTGTTCTGGCACCATACTGTTATCAGAAAACAGCCAGTCCTATAA